GATATCGTCCTCTTTTGGAAGGCCAAACAAAGTAGTTTCGCTTTCACAACGAAAAACTCAGCGTCTTCAGGACATGGCTGCAGCGTCAACAATACTACAGTGAGACTAAAAGTTACGCCTTCTTTCTTTGCGTGAACATTTGGGCGGCGTTATGCAAATCTTCCCACATAGTGAGGTAGATATGTGGGGGCGTGTTAGAACGAGCCGTCTTAGGTATGTGTGGCTGCCTGAACTTTTATAAAGAATATCTCTTTGGATTTGAGACTTTAGTCTTTGCAACTTTACAGATCTTCTTTATGCACCAAGTGCTTGTAACACTCCAAAGAGAAAGGAAAAATTGAAATCGCATCATATGACCCCTTTAACATATTATTATATCTTATATTAACCATTTGCACACACAAGCATTATCCCACTCGGCTCCTCCCGACAGCAGACGCAGCCACATTTTCCTGCATTTTTCAGTCAATTTCTTGCCTTTTCCCCCCTTATGAACAACAAATTTTTGTTTTGACCGATTTGAGCATCCATAAACAATGCAAAACATAGGCATTTTGAGTTTCTGCTAGCGATTCCTATATAGAAAAATCACTTCCTGCCCTCCAGCTGCATTTCGCGCCACAGCAATGACGTCTAGGGATGGGCGGATCGATCCTTAAGTATCGATACTTTCAATACTGATGTTGTATCGAAAACATATTTGTCTGTTACGTCATGTTTTTGTTTGGTTTGGGTTTTGGCTTTGTGGTTTGGTTTTTGTTTTGTATTTTGTTTTTTGTTTGCTTTGCTTAGATTTTTTGTTTTGGTTTAAAGTAGGGCTGTTGCGATAACCGCAATATCGCAATACCACGCTATTGACGAGCCAGAGGAACACAAGAACCGCAGCAACCGCATTATTTTTTCGTAAGGATACACCCTTCTCGTTTTACACTTTGTGCATGTGTACTGAATATTAAATAAGTTAGCAATGATAACACAATGTGTACCATGCTGATTTATACAGAGGCTCCATAGATTTGCACTAAACAAGCCTAAACAGACAGTGAATGAGAGAGAGATCGACTGAGCGCATGCAGTTACCTGCGTCTGTCCTTCAGGCTGAGTCATATATATCTGTGAATATAGGTCGTCATGTCCAAGTAAAGCGAAATCTTAGCATCGACGCATTGCTGGTCAGCTGAGCCTTCTAAAGTAGCGCTCAAAGTTCAAATGATTTAAACAGCGTGTTTAATTACATCTCTCTTTGAATTAATCAGCATTTTTGAATGTGTAGTTGAATGAACGGTTTAAAGACAGTCCCTTGCCGCCAAAGATCAGAACTTACATATATATGTGCTGTATATATGCTGTATGTATAGTGCTGTAAAACGATTAATCGCGATTAATCACATCCAAAATAAAAGTTTTTTGTTTACATAATATATGTTTACATAATAAATGTGTATATTTATTATGTATATATAAATACACAAACATACATGTA